ATATATATATATATGTATATATATTATATATATTATATATATATATATATAATATAATATATATATATATATATATATATATATATATATATATATATGTATATATATATATATATATATATACATATTTATGTCAACAATATGGCTCAAGCTGGATGGGTACGCCTTCGCACCAAGGCCCTAGCTGCTGCCTTCCTTCCTGCCATTGCACCTACCACGCCTGAACCTTGTTTGCCCAAGTACTTTCTCCCCTCAAGCAATTCTGGTGAACTTTCCCGCTTTGTCACGGCCGGAAGAACTGACATCCTAAAATACAGAAGCAAGTACCTGCACAGGACAGAAGTTGCTGGATAAAAGGACATCTTGTCAGGCAGACCGAGAGAGACCAGAGAGACAGGAGAACAAGAGCAGATGTAGAACAAGGCAGGTCACCCTCCGCCCTCGGCACTCGGGACACGGGTCTCTCGTGGGGTTACACTTCTAACTCCCCCAATAAACCAGCAAGCCAAGACCCCTTTCATTCACCTGCTCCACGCCCCCTAACTTCATCACAATATATGTATATGTATGTATGTATGTATGTATGTATGTATTTATGCATGCATGTATACATGTATGAACGTAAGAATGTATATGTACAGATATATATATATATATATATATATATATATATATATATATATATATATATATATATATATATATAATATATATATATATATATATATATATATATATATATATATATATATATATATAATATATATATATATATATATATATATATATATATATATATATATATATATATATATATATATAATATATATATATATATATATATATATATATATATATATATATATATATATTATATATATATATATATATATATATATATATATATATATATATATATATATATATATATATAATATATATATATATATATATATATATATATATATGTATATATATATATATATATATATATATATATATATATATATATATATATATATATATATATATATACATATATATATATATATATATATATATATATATATATATATATATATATATATATATATATATATATATATATATATATATATATATATATATATATATATATATATATATATGATATATCCCTTTTTGAACAGATTTCCATGATATAAAATGGACATCATTTCACCACTGTGCAAATCTAAAATAGACTTTCTGATTGTCAACAGAAAACCAGAGATGTTATAACAAAGCAACACAAAAAGCAGTCGCATTAAAACCAAAATCTATAAAATATAAACATTTCACAGTAAAGTATTAACCTTTACATAATTAGAAATAATAAAACAATATGAGTTTAATGTTAAATAAATGTAATGCTGAAACAACCATCACTCCATAATGAAAAGTATGATTGGCTATGTATGACATATTTTTAAGAGAATAAATCAAGTACCTTGAAGTGAGAAAAAAGTGATGGCAGCTCATGCTCACAATGTAATGTATAACTAATATTTGCACCATTACGCCGCAAGACATTGTAAAATGCTTTGCACTCCTTTCTGATCCACGGACGCTGATCATCTTGGACCTGTGTGAACAAAAGGAAATACCCAATATCCTTGTGATAAGGTAATTAAATGGTCTCAGCCTTATATTCTATTTTGATTTTATATACTTTTGCAAAATGTATTTTGACAATAAAACATTGGTCATGATTTACCATAATCTATCAAACTAAACTATTTAGGATTTTGGACTGTAGGGGACAATCCTCAAGTGTATTCTATTGGCTATTCTGCAACTCCATAGTAATGTTCTGGAAGGGAAGTAAAAAAAATTAAACATATAAATATCAATGAATTTGTCCCTTACCTGATATGGAGACACATGTATATGGATACCAAGATTTGGAAGAGATGCAATATCTTTCAGTACAGCATGATCCGTGATCCACGTTTTACTGCCACCTGCATGGCCGCCATCAAGCCAGTACATATTACGTATCTATTAAAGGAGACTACAGTGAATAGTGTACATACAGTGCAGATCCTCATCTCAGCTACATATCCACCTTTAAGATATGTCACTGCTACATTGCAATTTGCTTAGCCTAATATTCACCTAATAATATTATTATTGATGATGATGACGACGACGACAACAGCATCGATAATGATGACAAATATAATAATAATAATAATATTAATAAGTATAATAACAATTATTAACAATAACAATAGTAAAAACATGAAGAAAAGAAAAGAGTGAAACTCCACATAACAATGAAAATGATATTTATAGGCTCATTGCAAAGAAATTTATCTGAACCAAATTTCTTACTATTAGAATGCAATTGTAAATAATAGTTCTACTGTTAAATGTCATTCTGTTTCATATCTTCTAAAATCTAGAAATTCAACAATACAGATGCAACCTTCGTGGGGATTCTTGTGCTAGAAACCTTTGCTATTTCTATTCCATAATG